TTACCGGGAGGTGGAGGAATAATACAAAGGAGTGACGGCCATGGAGGGACAGCGACTGTGTCCCACTGTCTGCTGCAGACAGTTCCAACCCAGTCGCCTCTAAGCAGCATATAAGGCACTCCAGAGACCTCTAGTGTTAATAGGCTTCTGTGGTTCATTGTGGGCCTCACCTTGAGTAAATCTGGGGCCATTTCACTATGTAGGACACCTGCAAGATGGTCAAAATTGTGGGTTCAAATTCTGTCTGACAGACAAAGAATTTCTGCTCGTACATGAGGAAATGTCGTAAAGGGTGTACAGTATGTTTTATAAGCACACTTTTCCATGAATCGCATAACAGGAAGAGACTTGAGGATGACTAAAATAGGATAAAGTACCTTTGAAAGAATCCTCTCCCACCTTGCTGCAATGAAAAACTGCATTCCTGATAAGATATGAGTTCTCCGTGGTCCTACTTGTTTACTGACTTATTGAATGAACTTGAGGTACATGTTGAATTCTGTACTGTTGGCTAGCCTTTCCCAATAAATAAATGCAATGTGTCCATATATTAGGATTCATATTTGTATATCTATATAGAGTTACAGACAGACAGAGGGTTTTTTATTCTGTGGTTTTTGAGTCTCTTGTGGCTATCCCTCCTTCTCCCTTCCCCCCTCTCTGTTTTTCTCTCCTCTCTGTCTTTCTCTTTCGTCCTCTGTCTCTGTTTCTCCCCCTCCCTCCCTCCTCCTTTTTTCTCTTGATCTCTCTCTCCTCCTCTCCCTCTTGCTCTCTCATGCCCCCCTCTTTTTCTCTTTCTCTATTTCCTTCCATAGCTCTCTGTCTCACTCCCGCGCCCCCCTCTCTGTTCCTTTTATATCCTCCTTGCTGAATGTTCTTCTCCTCTCCTCCCTCAACTCTGTCTTTTCTCCTTTATATTCAGTCTTTTTTTTTTCAAGCTCTCCCCACTCTCCTTTCTCCAATGTTTCCTCCAAGCAGAGCTATTTCATTGCTAATATTCTGTCTTTCCATTTAGTACCCCTGCTGCAAAATGGGGAGAGTAATCTTTTATTTAGGTTTTTTTTTTTTTTGTTGCTCTGTCCATTTCTGCATTCTGTCTCAGTTTGCGTAAGACTGATTTGTTGAGAGAATAGTTCAAATTTTAGACTGCAGAAAAGGCTCGAAAACAAGCAAACATGGAAAACATCAATATTGAATCAGAGCTGCACAACATGCTGCTGGAAGTTGCAAGTGATTCACCTATAGTCTGACGGTGTACACTTCACATTAAAAGTTGCTCTCCTTTGCAGCAGTGAATGAGGCAATACTGATACTGACTCTCCTCTCCGGGTCCAGTTTCTTCTTACTGACCTTAATGGAAGAAGCTGGAGGCGTGCAACAGCCAGGGTGTGGCTGCTTTTATACAGTTTTGTCATATTCCATGTGCATTGTTTGATTGTCAAACTGCGTGATTGTCTTTTCTGTTCTTATGAAAAAGCCCGCTGTGCTTTTGTGTACGTGTGTGCGTGCGCAAGCCTAATTACAGCAGCTAATCATGCTTGAGACTTACTATTATATCAGCGTGCCGTGTAGAGGTGAGACTGATCCAACAGTAGAAATAACTCAAGGTGTGTGGGCTTGCTGCCTTTGACACAGCTCTGAAAAGATGGTTGAAGTTCAAGCCATGGAGCAAACTGATTCCTCCATGTCTCGGAAAAAAATGCTCACCTGAGCGCCATGGCTATAGCATCCCTGCACGCAAACCTTTGCAGCTTCCAGTTTGGCTGTCAGGGAGTGGATGTTGAATTACAGCCATCACCCAGCACAGCGTCTCACAGGCAGTCGGAACAAACTCGGGCTGTATGCAGCCTGTCACTGGGCTGGATTAGGAAACAACTCTGACAACGTGAGCCCAAGAAGTGGAGTGTTTGTACACAGAGACTAACCCGCGGCTGATGCATACCTTTGTCCGTTATATTGTTCACATTTGTTCTCACTTTTTTTTTTTTTTTAATTGCCCAATAAAAAAAAAAATAAATCAGGGAGCTGTATTCAATGAGTGCACTGCAGTCCTATGATTCATTCATTCTCTGGGCTGATATCTGAATCGGTTCTCCTTGCCTCCCTCACACTCCATCTCCTTGGCTTGTTCTCTTCCTCTTGTCGGAGACAATAAGTTCTAACTTTGACCTATATCACAAAGAGGATATGACGCTGGGCGTTTTGTTGTCCTATAGACAAATGAGGATGAAACCAGGCCTGCTTTGGAAACGTGTATGGCAGTTACTGGTGGAAGTAAAGCATTTTAAAAATGTGTTGTCATCGGAACTGAAAACATGTTAGTGTTTGTGTGTGTGTGTGTGTGTGTGTGTGTGTGTGTGTGTGTGTGTGTGT